CAATCACTTGTTATGCATCAGAGAGTTGGACAGTGACTAGGGAGGATAGAAGGAGAATTGATGCCTTTGAGCTGTGGTGCTGGAGAAGAGTGTTGAGGGTACCATGGACTGCTAGGAAAACAAACAGATTCATCCTGGAGAGCGTTAAATCTGGTGGCTCCATGGAAGCAAGGATTCTGAGGCTTCATCTAACATACTTTGGATATGTTGTAAGGAGGGACCAGTCCTTGGAGAGGGATATCATGCTCGGGAGGGTGGAGGGATGGCGCAGGAGAGGAAGGCCCTCTATGAGGTGGATTGATTCAGTGACTGGGGTAATCAGGATAGATGTGTCAGAGACAGTGTGATTGGCACATTACAGAGCATAGTTTAGGGCTTTTGTACATAGGGTCCCTGTGAGTTGCAAGCGACTGGATGGCACATAACAACAACAGCAACATGTCAGAGATAAATTGGCACAGCATAGAGTTCAGAGCTGTCATGCATAGGGTCACTGTGAGTCAATGGTACATAACAACAACAGTGTTTATTGATAGTAGTATTATGAGTTAGTTAGCTTAAGTTAGCCCCCTCCTTATCTAGGGCAAAACTAGATAGATCTAAAGATTTCTTCTGGATTTTATAGACATCGGGATGATAAAATTGTTTCACCTCCCGCAGCTAACTGATGAAGTGAAGACCGGGAGTAAAGACTAATCTTCACTTAGAAGTTTCTTGGAAAATGCAGACTGGTTTTATAAATAGTTATGGTTACCACTATTATAATTCACTTTGACAAAAGGTGAATGTAATTTTTCTTTATGTGTTTTTTTATTTTAGTATCCCAACCCCCTGGAGAAAAATGTCATCTCTGTGAAAACAGTGGAAGAAAAAAGAGGTGAGCTTTCTAAACATGCCCTCAGTACAGTGATGATAATTAACTGATGTTGATATATTTTTAAAAAGCATGTCTATATATGTGTGTATGCACTTCTCTCTTTTCTATCTCTCGGTCTGTGATCTGTCATGTTTTAATATGAGGTATTTCTGTACTTGGCCTGATTATCGAAAGAATGGGAACATATAGCCCCCAACATTTACATCTATGCTCTTGTCACTTTCAAAATTATTAATTCATAAATGACTAAATATTAATCAACATATAATTGTAGCATTTTCCATGCACTTACATATTTCATTTAATTTTCAAATGTATGGTATAGATACTATTATTCCTACTTAATGAATGAAGAAACTAAACTACAAGAGTGTATTAGAATTAGAACCAATGATATGGGGGAGGCAAAATGACATCAGAGCCAGGAAGCAGACATACATAGAAGTAATACTTTGGGCTCATGAGTGATGTTAGAGGAGGTGGACACTTTGGGTGCATGGATGACATCAGAAAACAGGGACCAAAATGAGACTCACCCACTGAACTTTGAACTCTGTGGCATTGTTTCATTGGCCGAGACTGCATCTGCAAGGCTTGCCCAGGAGAGGAAACCGTAAGTAGAGCCTCCCCTCAGGAGCAAGAGGCCTCTCAGCATTTCCTTTCAAGGGAGGAAAGGCCATCTTGTTGGGGATGTAACTTTCTAATAAGTCTCTCTACTGTTTTACTCTCATTTCTGCTTCCTTGCCTTTTCCTTCTCATCCCTGTTCACTAGTAAAAAGCTTCGGCCTCTAATGCACCAGACACCGAAGTCAGCTCTCCCAAGAAACACTAAAATTGCTGTATGTTGTATTACCTTGGTACTTGGGCACTGTCCATTACTCTGGTCTCTTATGCTTGATATAATTCTTTTGCCTGTGCGAGAAGGGTGAACTAGGGCACTCATCACCTGATAACAAGAGGTTAAATAACCTACCCCAGATTATGTAGCTATGTATTTATTTGTTATTCTATATAGATGGCAAACAAGGTGTGATTGATAATGTGTATAAGAGATGTGGTGGCAGAGATGTGATTTGTATCATAGCAGTGTATAATTTATGGACTTATACCTGTGTTCAGCTATGTGGTTAAGTGTTGCCTAAAGTAGGCCTTGGCAAACTATGACCCATATCGCCTACTTTTGTAAAGGAAGTTATTAGCATACAGTCATACCAGTTGCTTATTGTCTGTGGCTGCTTTTGCATGACAATGAAAACATTGAGTGGTTGACACAGAGAACAGAGCCTTTTTCTTTATTGGTTTGCAGGCAATTATTCATATACATTGTGGTTCAGGCATGTGCATTGCATTTTATATGATCTTTTATTTACATTGTATTATGCTCATGTATATGATGAGGTTTTTTTTCTCCTTACAATCATCTTACTAATAATTACATCTGTGGAAGCCTGAAAGCCAGCTGCTTCATGGCTTGTGCCTTAATATCCACATTTTAGATAGCCAGTTTCTAAGGGAATGAGGATGCCTCTTTTGCTAAAGGTTCTTCTGTTCTTTTTGGAAACTTTGAGCATCTGTAATCCACAAGTGAAGTTCAGTCAGAGCAAGCCACAAGGTTGCAGCAATCATCTCCAGCAACACGAGCTCACAGCATGGATCATCGTCTCTTCACCTGGTTGGGTTCTAGTCAACTCATCCCCAGCCATCTGTGGCTAGGTTCAGCGATATCAGACCCTTTAGAGGAAAAAAGTTTAATGACTGCTGGATTAAAATGTAGGAGTCTCTAATGACTTTTACCATCTCCAGCAGAGCAACTCCACTGGCTGATCTGGATTGAGAAGTGGGCAAAATAGAAAATGATAACAAGGTATATGTGATACGATCACTGTTCAAATCCTTGGAGTCTCCTGAACTCAAGTCTGACTCAGTTGGTCATGTGACTCTGAGCCTTTGTTTGTGCTGGGCAAACAAAAGCATTTCTTGGTGTGTTTCCTACTTGCCTGAAACATGTATATATCCACTGTCAAGGAAAACTGCTGCGGTTCTTAAATATATCAAGAGTAATTTCAAGTCCTGGTTTTGTTAACTCGCTACATACTAATTACTTGGAGTTTCTGTTTATTCACACGCTACATGGGAAAAAAACCAATAATAATAATAAATAATAATCCTACTTTAGATTGGTATGCAGATCACCGAGTGTGTTTCAAACAGATAAACAGATATTAACTGTCCTTTTTTCTTGTAAGAGCATTTTTGCTTCTGGGAGAGAATCCTTTTTAAGTGTATGTGTGCTGCCCATTTTATAGGAGCTGGCCAAAGGGAAAGCCAGTGGCCAGAGGCTACTCTCAGTTTATCTGTAGCTTCTGTTTCAGATATTTGCATCAGGAAGTTAGGAATACTATAGCTAGAGCTCTGAGAAACTTTAAAGTAGTGTGACTGAGTCACAGAAATTCTCTGAGCAGCACAAACTCTGATGTTTGTATCTTTTTCTGCCATTTTTTTGTTGTTCCTTTACATTTATTGTTTGTCTTTTGCATTCCTCATTTAGTTCCAGAAATCTCTTTCCAAACCACAATGGTCTAAGCTGGGAGGGTCTGCTCTTCTATGAGAGAAAAGAGTGTCTATACTTATAGCTTTCAATTTTATAGCCAGAAAACTGTCCTTGAAGACATGTTTGGTACACAAGATCGCAGAACCTCATATTCTTTGTACCATATTTTCTTTCTTGGAGTTGAATTGAAGCTTATTGGTCTTTGGTTGCTTTGTCATTTGGTGCTGACATTGCTAGTCCAGAGCAGTGAGCCATTTGTAATCATTTCATCACTGGCTTTAGAATGTGCAGTGTGAGTAGTAGCAGTGTTCCTCATTTGTGGCTCCACAGATCGGTGTAGTTGGAGTGACCTGGCTCGGAAATATGGCCAGTTTTGAGCTGAGCATTTTCTCCAGGAATTATACATAAAGACAATTGAGATTGGCATTAAATGTTTCCTTGACATTAAGACATGAATATATTTCCATAATTTTTTTGAGTTTAAAAATCTTCTATTTCCAGATATATCCACAGGAATCATCTATAGGAAAAGGATTGCAGTCTGTCAGAATGTGATTCCAGAAATTTTAAGGAAGGTAAATTCATTTCGAAATTTAACCAGATTTCGTTTTACATTGGGCAGTTTTTAAATATTCCTGCAAAGAGATACTACATTATGGAAAAGAGCTTTAGAACTTCCCAAGTTCTCCTGCCTCCTAGCTCTCTGGAGGAAAGAAGCTCTCTCATCTCTAACTTCAGCTTTGGCAGAAGAGCAATAAATGATAGTTGCTTTATTTATTTGGTGGTGGAGGAGTGCTCTTAGTGGATAGAAAAATGATCTATAATTATTTTAAAGATACCATGGGCATTTTGCATCTGTTTTTCCTACTGTGTCCAAAGTTATTAGATAAGAATGATTAGAAGTGGGCAGGCATATTGTCACTATTTAGCTTGATTTTCAGTAAGGAAGAGGAGACACCAGTCTGTCCGCAGAGATGAGAGAGCAGAGTGTTTCAGATGGTGCTCCCTGGAAGTCTTTTGTGAATGTTTCTGTAAAGTGGTAGTATTGATAATGAAATCTTTATGATAGCAAATTATTTTCTCTCTTTGAAACCTTTAAGCACTCTGGTGATACTTTATTGGAAAAGGGTAAGTAGAAATTCTTAATTGCTTTATTTGAACCATAAAAGAGATTGTCGGTGGGGGGGGATCTTCAGAATTGGGAGGACATGAGAAGAGACATCTTCATATCTACCTTTTAAAACATTATTGTTTCAACTTGGAAGTGATACTGTGTATGATGTAGAAATGAGCTTGGCTCTTGGCAATTAGCTTGCATATTCTATTACTGTACTGCATCTAGAAAAACAGTAGCTTCATCACTTCCTTATCATGGATTAAATGATTGTCACTTCTTCCATGAAAAGCAATGACAATTATCTTTATTTTTTGATGGTAAAATGTTTTGCATTATATGTAGTGAAATATTACTGGCTTTTTCCACTGAGTGTATACCCTAGCTTTACCCTATATACACACTTGGAATCTATTATTTAAAAAGGAATTCAACTTTGTCTTGTATCTCAGTTCTTAAATAATTTAAGGATACCTCTGCCTTGTACAATTCTGCCTTTGTACTTTTCCATGTCTCCTCCACTGAGAAAAACATGTTTCGAGATACTGGACGGAGTATAAAATGAAGAAAATATTTTACCTGATAATGACCTGCATGTGACTGGCCATAAGTGGGCCCGATTAGAATCCATCAATTTAAGAAGGCCATAACCAGCCTGAGAGGAGACATGAAGGAGGCTGATAATTTACTTAGTATTTAGCAGTTAGGGAAATCAGGCCAGAGACTCTAGAGCTTGCATAAATCCTGGGCCATTTGCATGTCCCCACCAGCATTTAGGAAGGTCACACAGTGTGTTTGATGAGCAGGAGCTTGCAGTCATTGGTGAGCTGCCATCCGTATATCAGGATCACTTGTCCTCTTAATTATCCAAGACTCAGGGCGACATGTGGATACACTCCTTTTTGCAGCCTGTTCTTCCTAAGTTAAGAAAGCTTCCTTCCCTCTCTTGGACAGGTGAGCATTTTAAAAATACCTGATATCCAGTTAGAAGAGGAATCGTGGCACAATCCTCAGGAAAGAAGCATGGCTATACAGAGTCACTGCCTTACATGGACACAGTACGCTTCCATTAAGGAAGAGTCAGTCTTCCGGGAAAGTGTGGAAAATCCAAATTGGTAAGATCACCTGTGTGTTTGTTGTGTGTGTGTTGAATTGTGATACACATATGAGCACATATATTGAAAAGGTTTAATTCTGTGATGTTGACATCTGTGTATACTGAGAGATACTTTCCAACATTTTATTTTTTTAAATTTTCTTTGGTAAATGTGTATT